CCTTAAATTAATGATGCATGGGACGGTGTTTGTAGACGGGGAGACGGCACTGAAACGTCCCGCGAAAATGTTTCTAACATGTTGGGGACAGTGACAGTTATCGGGGAGGGAATAAATCAAATTGGGAATCGTTTTCCAAAATGTATTATACTAAAAATTAGTGTTCCCATTTTTTTTGTTATGTATATTAATTTATTCTTTTCAGGAAAACTAAAAGAAAAATATATAAAAAGAAAACTTGTGTAAATTACGGTTTCAATTTTTTTTTTCAGATGAGCCGGATTTTGAAAATAAGTTGTTCAATGATTAGCTAATTTTTATCTATATTTATATTTCAGATTGAATGATTTTTTTAATATTGAGGTTTATGGTATAATTTTTTTTTTTGTCAACCAAACATTAATTAAAATATGTCATCATAATTGGATATGGTATGATTTTTTTCTTTATATTTTTATTTATAAGTATATTTTTATATTTTTATTGACGTTCTTTACATACATGTATCCATAAACTTTTAATATTATTGTTTTCTGTCCACGTACCCGTCTCAGTGCACATTGGCTGAGATTACACACAACACGATTGCAAGGTATGTTATTCAGTTGCCATTGCCCTCAAACCCAAATCCATGCTAATTACATTCACATATTTTTACAAAAGGCGATTATTTAACAACTGTCTTCACTTTTTGGTTTTATCATTGTTTTTGTTTTTTACATGGAAGCAAGAAGTCCCCTCATTTCAGTTACACCAAGAACGTTTTCATTGGGGTAAACGTTGGCTACAAGCTGCACGAAGCTCTCATACTTGTCCAGAAATTCCTTCTGTTTTCAGTTCACACAAAACATATTTGATTCAATGCATTATATTATTTCTTCGACAACTATTTCATTAGTTCATCAGTTCAAATTGGTACCTTGCATTTATCCCACAACGCCGGTAGTAACTCGTCCGATGCTAAACTCTTCTGCAATTTTTTATACATTGCCGCGATCGATTTCTCCACCTAAACCAAAAGTAAACGTGGAAAGCTATATATGTTAGAAGGTCTCTATGAACAATTAATACACTCCAAGGAATATCTGTTTTACCCCTGACAAGCTTGATTTTAACATCTTCCGGAGTTCCATTTTTGACAAACCAAGCTGGAATGGTATCTGAAATATGGAGAGTATGTATCAAAACCAACCTATTAATTTTCATACCATGGATACTCTAAGTAACACACCAACACATAGTTAACGTTCAATAGTAAAGCTGAAATCCTCATAATGTAAAAGTGAAACTACGAACTTATTAACTAACCTCTTCAGGGGTGATAGTATGCATAATATCCTTAATCTTTTTGTCAAATTGGAAAAGTTTTTCGAATTGCTGCACAGACAAAGAACACATGAAACAAACAAAATCGGTTGTACTTGTAACAGTTAACTCCAAAAGAAGGAAAAAAAAAGAAGATGAGAGTTATGCTATTAGTATTAGCTGCAAATGGGAAGGCACCACTTACGTAGTATATTATCATGCTAATGTGGCGGGTAGAAGCTTGCTCATATGCTTCCCTTGCCTGTTCATAGAACTTTTCTAAAACGCGCACAACAGTAGCAAGGTCAAACATGCTACACACATAAAGAAAAAAAATACAAGGTTAAAGAAATATGAGTACTTGGAAGAAGAAGAAGTTAATCATTAACAGAAATATGACTTACCTACTCTGAAAAGCACCATAATTTTCTATAAGGATAATATCTGCATATTTAGGATCTTGCTGGGCAATTTTATTTAGGGTCACGAACATTATCCTTACCTGTAAAACATCACTAATCAGCCTCTAAAGACTTTAATCTTATTCTGTTATTTTAAAAAGTTGTTGTGACAGTTTAACTTCAAAATAATAAGCTCTGGCTAAATTATAAAAAGTCGGATTTTGTAGGAAGATCAAAATATAAAGAAAATGGATGTGAGAATTCGTAAGAGGAATTTTATGACTTTTAAAACTTTTAAATCAATAAAGTCTGACTGGATAAATTATGCTTTTAATTTTTTTCTTAAAAAGTCTTTAAAGCTTATAAAGTCCATTTGCCAATCACATTCTCTGCGTACCAAAGCCAACAAAGAAAAGAAATTACAATATTGAACGCATAATGAGATATATGCTTTATTTATATACTGATGTCATACAATTTGAGAATGAAGTAATGGTGGGGTTTACACAATGCAAGTGAACTAAGATTGAGATTGTATGTTATTGCTCGATGTGGCAAACATTATTCTTTGATTGCATGGTTTGTGTAAATTTTATTGGTAGAATAAACTCATAAAAAGAGTAGTACTCACAAATTTTGTGTATGCCTGATCCACCAAATTCCTGGATTGCCCTTGTATGTACTGTTCCATACGAATAGCAAGTGCTGCAAATCTATGAAAATGAGATAGTAGTGTTAGGACACATGTAATAATACTACAATGGTTTCTTGGATCACGGACTAGTCCATCCGACCAACAATCTTATTGGGTATAATAGAACAGAACCACAAAATCAGTTGATTTTGTTTACTAGGTGGAAGAAAATACTATCCAGTTTGGAAAGAAATAAGCATTTACATGACGATAAAAAAGTATTAAACAATTTCGACTTCTTGATTACCTTGGAATATAGGGCAAGACGCCCATCTGTCTTACATTACGATCATTTCTTTCAATCTGGTGACATGCTTCATCCACAAACTGCAGTTAAAGTTGACTTAAAATGATTAGTACGAAGAGTGTGTAAGGACCACAAATCAAACAATCTATGAATAACATACGCGGCTGAATTGCATGGAAACCCTCGACTCCAGATCACCAAGCAAAAGGCGAACAAATCCTGCAGCATCAGCTTTCTGACCAGAAAGATAACGTTCAGTTATACCATGCATTGATATGCACCGTAGGGGGTCTATTTTATATGCCCAATCAACAACCGCATAGAAATCCTCCTGTAGTGACAAGAAGACAGATCTTTCTTTTAGTATTAAAAATGAACTGCTCAAAATTGATGATTGTTCTGTCTTTCAATTAACATAGACATTATTTTGAGGAGCATCTTACCTGAATACCATCAAGTAAATCTTGAAGAGATTCATTCAATGCCGTCAGGTCTGGAGGGTTTTTACCTGCAGAATTGGACAAATGTTTTGATTTTAGAATCACTTGAGAATCTAGTAAAAGCTTTACTAATGGTAAAAAATATGAGATTACCAGTTTTGTTTTCAGTCTCATCAATGTCCATGATCCCCAAATCATCATCTTTATTGTTGGACCGGTTTTTACTATCATTGGCAGAACCGCCAGGTGGAGCAAGAGCTGGTACCTCAAAGCACATGAAATGAGCGAAAAAGGAGCTCTGCAGTAAGAAGCAAAAAGGAAATGTGAGGTTCTAGTATATACATATGTTGCATTTTAAGGCCACGCAGAA